GTGCCCGCCGGGGAGGGCGCGCGAAGGCTTGCCCAGCTGGGCAGGCCTCGGCCTGGGGGGCCGAAAGCCTCGGGGCGCGCAGCGGTCCCGCGGCCGGGGAGCTGGGGGCACTGAGGTGCTGCAGGCTGGGAGGCGAAGTCGGCGCCCGGGGCTGTCGGCTTGGCGGGTGGCCATGAGCACTGGACCCCATTGGTACGTTGGCCCTGGGAAGGGGAAGGGCAGAAGGAGGCCCTAGAACTGGTCTCCTGGGAATGGACGGGCCGAAAGCCTCGGGGCGCGCAGCGGTCCCGCGGCCGGGGAGCTGGGGGCACTGAGGTGCTGCAGGCTGGGAGGCGAAGTCGGCGCCCGGGGCTGTCGGCTTGGCGGGTGGCCATGAGCACTGGACCCCATTGGTACGTTGGCCCTGGGAAGGGGAAGGGCAGAAGGAGGCCCTAGAACTGGTCTCCTGGGAATGGACCAAGCGTGGGGCTTCGTGGACCGTTCCCTAGGACTGAGCTGGCCACCAGGAGCTCCAGCCCAAGGGCCTTGTTTGTCCCCCCACTCCGAGTTACTCGCTCACAGCTCCTTGTAGTAAGCTTCCCGTCTCCTTCCGCAGTTAGCCTTGTGTCTCCCCCCAGCCACTGCTTAGTCAGGCTGGACTGGGCGACTTCTCATCCTTTAGTCCCTGCTTATTGCATCACTCTTCTCTGGTAAAGTGGGGTCTAGAAAGGAGCAGCCGCTCCTGGCCTGGCTACTTGTAGGGTGACTCCTTGCCTACTGGGGCATGTCTCTGTAGCTGTGCCCTAGAATGATGCCCCCGATGCACTTCAGGATGGTATCTGAGCAGTCGCACCCCTACAGTTTCTCAGCAGTGATAGCACTGCCACAAATGAGCCAAACCAGTGGCGAGGCAAGCGGTGCTGGCACTTTGACTACGTGTTGTTTTGTGCTGCTCAAAGCAGACCTGTACTGAGTGGTGTTGCTACTGCCAGTGGAGGTGCATCAGGGCTATGAATAAAAGGGAAGGCCTCCCTAGGCAAAGGCTCAGGCATACTCTGTGTTTCAGTTTCTAGGTTCATCCCTCCCATTGAGTTGGGGGAAGGGAGAGGAGCCTTAGATTGACATGTCTGAGGAGAACAGCTACATTCATCCAATTCTGACCACTTCTGTGTTTTTAATCTTACTGAATCCTTTGGTATCATTGTTCCGTCCTCCCAGCTCCCCCTTTAGCATTACCTGCAAATGCATTTAAATTGCAGGCCACCACTTTCTTCTAGATCACAAATGAAAATGTTAAATACATCTGGAGCAAGAAAAGATGTCCCTGGCAGAGGACTCCCCATAGTCCATGCATTGCCCCTTTCTCTTGGGCTCTTAACTGGTTCTCTATTCATATAACAGTGTTCCTGTCACAGCTGATTGGAAGTGAATTTGCAGTTGGGAGTTCATGAGAGGCAAGATCAAATGCTTTTGATAAAATCTGCCCTATTCCTGGCGTGGCTCAGTGCCTCCCAAGTAAATGAAAGGAAGTAGCAATATATCAGTCTCACTTTCCTCTACCCGAGGGATTACCCTAAAATTGATTAGTAGATGCTTCAAAAGGCTATATGCTTGTGTGTCCTTCATAAGAGATTACTGACAGGGAGCTAAAATAACAGTGTTGCATTTAATTCTGAATGTGTCAAAACCTAGAGCCTCTTCTCTTGCAGAAGTGAGTTCTATATGAGTCCCCCTTCTCTGACATTGCTGTCTCCAAGCACACAAATCCTCCTGGCTGCTAGTTTTGTGGTCCAGAACTGTAGGAGGCCATGGTCATAGAAGGAGAGGTATCTCTAAGAGAGCCAGAGACAGTCCTGGCAAGGGATTTGAGAATCAAGTCAGACACCTCAACCAGGCCTCTTTGTTTGGGAGGGGATGAGGGGGCTCAGTTAAGAGAGTGAACCCTGCAATGGTGGGCTGAGGATAACTGATGTTGTTAAGCAGCCTGGCTGCTATGTTCTGATCCAGGTAAAGACTTTGTTCCTAGATCTGCTGTGTGGCATCATGAGTGCTTGGACATGGGATGTTGGGAGGCTGGCTTGGATATTTGGGCATGTAACAGCAGTAAGAAGTCCAACAAGACCTCAAAGCTGTGTGCTGACTTTATAGTTTATGGGCAGATATCGCTTGTCATATGGGGATATTAAAGCTAAAACTAGTAGAGGTGCACCAATATATATATATATATATATTGGTCCATAATGTATCAGCACTGATAAAAGGAAAATTGATGTTATCAGCAATTGGCTTTTTTTGGCCAATAATGTCACTGATAAATGCCATGTGCATGCACTCATCTGCAGCACGCATGCAGCCAAGAATGCAGCCTGGCAGCTTGGAGAGCAGTGTCTGGCCAGAAATTGCGGGGGGGGGAGTGAAGGGGTATGGGGGGGCAGATCAAGGCGCCCACAGTGAGGGAGGGAGTGGGGCAGGGGCAAGTGCTGCACAGCCAGAGTGGGGCGCTGAATGGAGCTGCGGGTGGTTCGTCCAGGGGGTGTAAGAGAGTAGCTCCTGCCACTACGTGTACCCCCAGGGGAGGCATGGGGGCATGTGTCCCTGGGCTGTGTGCTCAGGGCGAGGGTGGCTGCCCGCTGCAGGCTGGGGCCAGGGCCTGTGCTGGCCTCTTCTTGGCGGAGGAGCTAGGTTAGGGCTGCACTCAGGGCGGGTGGCAGCGGTGCTGGGGGGGCCTGTGGGGTGGGCTACAGCCCCCCCAAATTCACTGTAGCCCCTCCCCCAGTGCAGCTGCCACCCGTCCTGAGCGCAGCCCTAGCCCAGACCAGCCCCTCTGCTGGGAAGAGGACGGCACAATCCCTAATCCCAGCCTGCAGGGGGAGCCTGCCCTCGCCCTGCACCCCAGGGGTGCATGCAGCAGTGGAAGCCACCCCAACCCGACATCCCCCAGATGAGCCGCCTGCTGCTCCATCCCATGCCCCACCCTGGGTGGGCAGCCCCTGCCCCACTCCCTCTCTCACCATGGGGGCCTTGATCTGCCTCCCCCTATACCCCTTTGCCTCCCCCTGCCTCCCCCCTCCCCCGACTTACTGGCTGCTCTCCAAGCTGCCAGGCTGTGTGTTGGGAATTGGATTGGTATCGGCCAATATGGCTGGGTAATAATCAGCCAAACAAATCTTTATTGGTGCACCCCTAAAAACAAGGTCTTGGAAGAACTTTCCTTATCTAGCCAGCCTCCTAGCTGTCTTGGCCAGCTTGTCTTCCAGGAGCCAGTTTTGGTTTTGCTTTGAGAAACTTGAGTGATGGTGCTGTTTTCATTGACATATGAGAGATACAGAGTATAGACTAATTTACAAACCATTGTCACTTCACAGTTCATTGTCTCACCAGCTCCCCCAGTGACTTAATTTTGATGGGGAATAGGATAGTGAAGATTTTTGTGGACTTCAGATATACCACATCTGCCAGTTTCTTCTTGCCTACCTCTTAGGTACATCTGTCAAAACAAAGAATCAAGATTTATGCTTCAAAACTTCCCCTGGCCCCTCCCTGAGTGTAGCCACTGTACTGCCTGAGTATTGTATGATTTTCTTCCCTTACGGTTTATTACCGTGGAATAGAAGTTAGAGCTATTGGAATTGTAAGTCTAGGATCCCTTCTTCTTCTCTGAAAAATCAGTACTCCACTTGATGTCCTTCCCTGTTTCAGGGCTGGCCTACATGTCTGATGATTCAGTAAGTGAAGCAGTTAAAGCAGCTTCCTTTGTTACACAAGTATGCAGGTTCCCCAGACAGGCTGATTCTGAGATGTTCATTCTGGGTAGCTTGTCCTTTCCCTGCTCTCTCTAGAGTAGTGGTTTTCAATCCTTTTTACATTTGCGGGCCCTTAAAAAATTTCAAGTGGAGCAGACCCCCTTGGAAATTCCAAATGGAGGTGCGGACCCCTTTGAATTGTAAGTGTGGGTATTCACATACTTTTAAAGATTGATCATAGTTGTCTTTTGTGGACCCTGAGGGATCAGTGGGACCACAGGGTGAAAACCACTATTCTAGAAATTTCTCATTTACTAAGGTTGTCTTCTTCCTTCCTGAAGGGAGATTCTAATACCATTTAAAAGGAATTCATTTTTCTCCTTCCTTTCTGTGGTAGAATTATTCCTCTCCTTGGCATATTTCCCCTTAGAAATGCCAAGAGAATGTACATGTGACAGCAAGGCAGTGAGCATGTACACATTTGTCTGGAAAAGGCCACCTGAGCCCTCTGTCCCTTTGGCCCCTTTCTCAGTCTGGTCCCTTTATCTCTGGGTGCCTTGGCTTGGGCCTGCCTAGAACAGGCCCCTTGTCCTTTGCACCCACGTTGTTCTTCATTTTCATGAGCTTATGGCCAGGATTGGGCCATTTTATGTAGTTTGTTAGAGGGCTATGAAGACAAACTAGTTTTTTCTTTTCTTTTTTAAATAAAGTTTCTGTGGCTTCCGGGTAGGTGGAAGCTGCAGGCTTAGCACCCTGGGGACAAATTCCCCTTGTTCTCCAGGCACCAGTGGGGTGAGGTTCCTATACAGATGAGCTTACTAGCATGCCCTGTGGCAGGGGTGTCAAAATCAAATTAGCTGGCAGACCATATTCCCTGCCAGCAGCTAGGAGGTGGGTCATAGCTGGGTGGTGGGTCATCTGGCCCACAGAGCCTCTTACTGGTCAGATGACCCACCTCTGAATCTGGGATGCTGGAGCCTCTGTGCTGGATGTGGTGGTGGTGGGGGAGTGTTTAACACAGCAGCTGATTACTGCCTCTAATGGGTATGCAAAACTGGCAATTCAGTGGTGGTTAAAGAGTGGGGCAGGCAGCAACATTCATCCACTAAGGGCATGGGCAGTCTGGCAACAGCAGCACAGCTGCTCTGATAGCCACAGCAACAAGCCCCACAGGCTGGGTCTGGAAGTAAGTTGTCCGTCCAGCGAAAAGCCTTGCAGACTGGATGACCCACCTCTGTGGGACTGATCTGACCTGTGGGCATTAGACGTGGGATTTAAGTTTGGCACCCCTGATCTATGGGGAAGGGGTCCTGTAGGGAGAGCAGGCCTCTGTGCCCCATGTAAGTCTTAGTTACTCTACTCTGAACTAATTAGCAGTCAAGGTGGTGTGTCTGTGTGTGGTCCCAGCCCCAGCTCCTACAGCCTCATCCCAGAGAGAGGCCATGAAAGGTCCACTAGATGGAAACATTTTTAATCCCTCTGGGGCTGTAGTGTATCAGCGCATGGGACCTGAGGTTGGCAAGCTCTATAGCATATTAGCAATAGGCTGAGGCATCACAACTCCCAACAAGTGCTAATTTGAGAAATGAAAGAATAGTGATAAAAGAACAAGATTAAGGTTGGAAAGAGCCCACACATTTAGGAAGAGCAAGTTATAAGGTAATCTGTGGACCTTACCTCTGCTCCTCTGGGCACATACAGTTAAAGACTGTTGTGATGCAGGATCACATTCTGTTTTCTTCTTTGCTGTGGTGGTCCACACAGTTTAACTGGCATCTGCAGTGACCTTTGCCAGGCAGCAGTATGATCCAGTGTGCTGTGCCTGTAGCATCCCCAGTTTCACACTGCTCCAGATAGCGCCTGTCAAAATGACATGGATGGTAACTGTGCTCCTCTTTCAGTCTCAGTCATGGACTTCAGTCTGGCTTCTTTGCAGAGCAATGCCTAGAATCCTGTCTTTGATCCTCATTTTTTCCCTAGGCAGCAAGCAGTAGCAGCAGCTGCACCAGTGTTTTGTTCAAGGTAGACGAAAGGGACAGGAGGAATACAGACCTGGTAGGTGGTGCTTCCATACCACCAAAAGTCCAGGGTGCCAAGCTAAGGCTCAGGACACTGATCAGATCACCCTGGGTGCTAGTTTGCATTTTGGCTTTTTAGGTGTTTTGCCAGGTTGTTACACAGAGTGGAAAACTCTGAATACACGACAAATTTATCCAACCAAAGCACTTGGATGTCACAAAACAAAGCGAAATTAGGAGACATTTTTTCAAATAACTTGACTTCACTGCTTCCAGGTCATTTGTGTTAAAAACTAGGGTGTTGTACTGAGACACTTGAGACCTAAGAACAAATCAAGGAAAGACAGGTGAACATCCTTACCGTGGTCAGTAGGGGCACAGGAAACTGGGCCAAAAGAGATACACCACAGCCAAGGGTTTAACAGTGCTTCTGTTCAAAACAGGTTTTTGTTTCCTTTCCAAAATCCATGTTAAAGTCTGGCCACCTGGAAGACTAGTTTGCCATTGGGGGGGGCAGGTGGGTACAGGGCTAGAGCATTTGGTATGCAAATCTGAGCAGATGACCTGGGTCTCAATGGCATCCCAGGATGCAGTGTGTCTGGGATAAGGTGGAAAATCAACTTTCTTCTAACTTTGTTTAAAAAGAAGAAACTTTAAAGATTGAGAAGTGGCTTGATTAGTGATCAGGTGCTTTCTCAAGGAGGAAATGCCTAACACAGGAAGTCAGGAGATAAGATGGAAGTTTGTCAGACAAATTCAGATTTGTCTGACAAAGGCACACATTTTTGATTGTGAAAGGGAAAATTGTTCCAATGGCCAGAGGGAGGTGATGGCATTTCTATCTCTAGATGACTTCAAATCAAAGCTGAATGTCTTTCTGAAAGATGTGATTCAACCAGACACAGATTATTGGGATCAGTGCAGGGGTGACCAGGTGGAATTCAGGGGTCTGTGTTACACAGGAAGTCATCCTGGGTGATCCCTGTCACAGGGGTTTCTGTCCCAGGGCACCTTTATGGCCATAGCAGGATGCAGCACTCACCCAGCCCTTGGCTTGCAGCATTCAGGCAGCCTGTTCTACACATCAGGTTATGGGAATCTGTTTCCAGCCAAATCCAGGCAAGTCCTCTCCCTCCAGGGTTATCAGTGGTCCAAAAGAGATCAACCCCCAAATAAATCTAGGCCATACTAGGAGCCATATCCCACAAAGCAGTTTCTGGAGCCCTGGCCCCAGCCGGTCTCTAGTAAAAAGAGAGTCAGAGCCTCTCAGATTTTGTCCTCCCATTGTAAGCCCTTCCCTCCTGCTTTGACATCTTTCACAGGTGTGCCAAGGTCAGGCTTACTGGGCTCACACCTTTTCATGAACTTCTTGTGGGCCAATTTGAGTCTTGTGTAACCCATTAAAAGCTCCTCCCATTAAAATCTGTGAAAAAGTTTGACAAGAGCTGGCTTCATGTAGAACTAAGGTCACTGTTGTGCCCCTGCTGAAGTCTAATTCCCAGCACCTACAGGCTCCAAAAGAGAGGGAAGGAATGGAAGACAAAGCCCCAAAGCTGTGCTGCTGTTTGAAGCTTGGTGGAAGTCCTGCCTGGTATGTGCCAGAGCACTCATTGCTGGCTGAAGTGATCACCCCAGCACAGGGCAGACAGCTGCACCTTGGTTCCATCTGTGGGGGTGTCCTTAGTGTGACTAGCAGGCAGCTTCCTGCACCCAGAAGGTATTCTCCACTTAGTAAAACATAGTGCAGCAGGTGCTGGGGGCCTTGCAATGTGCAGTTAAAACTGTGTTTTGCCTGGTGTGAAGCATCACTTTAACTTTGCAGTGACTGGTTTCCATGTCTGAGCCTGGGGCTGTGCATTCCTGTGTTTCAGCAGGTGTTACTGCAGCCCCTCTCTAATCCTGTTTTCTGTAGGTCGCTATCCTTCAAAGCCCAGGCTGTGTAGGTGGGTCAGGAGGGGCACCTGTCCTGCTTCTTTCAGGCTATATTTTTACTGTCAAAAATGAGTCTTACAGCGAGATGAGAGCTCATGACCCTCTGTAAAATCTTCATGGAGACAAGGTGCAGGCAGTCCTTACTGTGTGATGACAATGAGTGAGGTCAAAATCAGGTGCGTAGTGTTGTATTCAGCTGGTGGCCTCCTTGCAAAAACTGCTTTTAGCTGGAAAGCAAACTCACTGTGCTTATTGCACTGTAAACCCCTTGCGTTTGGGGAGAGAATTAATAGCTTCATTGTTTGCCTTTAAGTTGGGGCTAGACCTCTAGCCACCTCTAGTCTCTTCCACCTGCTCCTGCTGTATCCCCTGCCTGCCAAGTGTACACAGGCTGAATGGATCCATGCATCTTCTCTGTTCTTTCTGTTCCTTCTCCCAGCTGACATATTCTTCCCCTTCCCATGGCCCCTTTGATCTTACAGGACCTCTCTCACATCCCTGACTCAGTTTGCTTGGGGTGTGCTAGCTCCTGCAGTTGCTGTTCCAGCTCCTTCTGCTCCATGTAACAGCATAAAGGAAAGCAGTTAGCCCTTGGTTTTGCACCAAAATGGAGACTTAGGGTTGCCAACCCAAGAAATGTTTTTTACTAACAAGCTGCAAACTTCGTACTGACAAACTTTTTACTCACAGTAAAAATGTATCAATTAAAAGAAAATGTTCCTGGATTGGCAGCCTTGTGTAACCGCAACAGGGATTTAACACCCCTGATCTGCAATCACCCTGACATCTGCTGAGAGGGAAATACAGCAGTGGACAGATGATCCAGGAAGCTTTTGGAGAGTATTGGGGACAACTTGCTGATGCCAGTGCAGGAGTGGCCAACCAGGGGCCATGCCCTTCTTGACCTGCTGCTCACAAACAAGGAAGAATTGGTGGGGAATGTAGTAGTGGATGGCAACTTGGGCAGCAGTGACCATGAGATGGATGAGCTGAGGATCCTGAGGAAAGGAAGGATAGAGAGCAGTAGAGTAAGGACCCTGGACTTCAGAAAAGCAGACTTTGACTCCCTCAGGGAACTCGTGGTCAGGATCTCCTGGGAAGCCAGACTGAGGGGGAGAGGAGTCCAGGAGAGTTGGCTGTACTTTCAAGAAGCCTTACTGAAAGTGCAGGAACAAACCATCCTGATGTGCAGGAAGACTAGCAAGTATGGCATGAGGTTCAACAAGAACAAGTGCAAAGTCCTACGCTTAGGACAGAACAATCCCATACACCAGCACAGGCTGGGGGCTGACAGGCTGGGCAGCAGCTCAGGACCTAGGGGTGAATATGAGTCAGCAGTGTGCCCTTGTTGTCAAGAAGGCTAATGGCATACTGGGCTGCATTGGTAGTGTGTTGCCAGTAGGTCAAGGGAAATTATTTCCCTCTGTTCAGTACTGGTGAGGCCACATCTGGAGTACTGTATTCAGTTTTGGCGCCCCCCCCCCCACTACAGAAAGGATGTGGACAAATTGGAGTCTAGCAGAGGGCAACAAAAATGGTGAGGGGGCTGATGAACATGACTTATGAGGAAAGACTGAGGGAGCTGGGTCTAGAGAAGAGGAGACTGCGGGGACTTAATAGCAGCCTTCAGCTATCAGAAGCGGGGTTTGAAAGGATGGGTCTAGACCAGAGGTGGGCAATTACTTTGGGCAGAGGGCCGCTTACTGAGTTTTGGCAAGCCATCAAGGGCCGCACGACAAGCAGCCAGGGGCAGATAAATATTAATTTTCTAAATTTTTTAGGGGCCCCGTGGGCCAGATAGAATGGCCTGGCGGGCTGCATTTTGCCCACCCCTGGTCTAGACTGTTCTCATTGGTGGCAGATGACAGAACAAGGAGCATAGGTCTCAAGTTGCAGGAAGGGAAGTTTAGGTTGGATATGAGGAAGAATTTTCTCACTAGGAGGGTAGTAAAACACTGGAATAGGTTACCCAGATTGGTGGTGGAAGCTCCATCCTTGGACATTTTCAAAACCCGGCTAGACAAAGCTTTGGCTGGGTTTAGTTGGGGCTGGCCCTGCTTTGAGTTGGGTTAGATGACCTCCTCAGGTCCCTTCCAACCCTCACTTTCTATTATTCTATGACTTTACCTTCCACCCCCAAAGCAACCTTTGTGTGACCAGCAATATTACAGGATGGGAAGCAGCAGCACGTGGCTAGAGAGGAAGGCGTCCACGAAGCCCTGAGAATTCCCACAGGGTGCTGCACTCCTGCTTGGACACCAGGTGGTACTGGTGTGCTGTGTCTGTGTCTAAGTGAAGCTCCATGGGGTGTCACAAGATGCTGAAGCTTGATTGTTTTTACAGAGGGCTCAAATTTATTTACTGAAAGGAAGTTTTAGCTTGAACTTTTACTGACTGTCTGTAAATTTACAGACAGTTGCTGCTGGTCGGCCTTGTGTTTTTCCTTGGCTGTTATGTATCCCAGATGCTGCTCTTATTTTGCTGCTTACCTTTGGAGTAGCCAGCTCTGCTCTGGCATGACTCCCTCTGGAAGTTGCATAGGCTGTATTTTTTACCAAGCTTGTTTTTGAGCACTGTGTTTTATTCAGCTCTTCACTCCCCCACGACAGCCTTAGCATTCACCCTCCTCTGCTTAGAGGCCTTTTTCTTAGAGCTCAGCAGTTCTCTGCCATTTTCTGTGCATGTCCCTTTGCAGGTGGGCTGGGGTTCTAAAGTTGGGGAGTGCCTGGGGACCAGAGCCAACCAAGTCAGATGTGCGCACACAGTACATGTGAAAGGCTGTTCTGCTCTGGGAGGTTACTTTATACATTATTTCCTGGAGCCCAGGCTTATCAGTTCCCTGGCTCAGAGCTGATTGGCTCCTTTGGAAGTGAAAATAGGATTCTTTCTGTATTCAGCCCTTCAGTCTCTGCATGACATCCCTTAGGTCAGGTTATGCTCTTCTCAGGGTTCAGCAACAGCAACGCCTTTGGCAAGCTTAAGCCTAACCTGACAGACTGGAGTTCTGCTGTGGGAGGACAATGCTCAGAGGGGAGAGTCCATTGGGATGTGGGTACAGAGTGGTACTAGAATCTGGGCCTGGCAAGGGCAGGCAGAGTCTGCAGGTGGGTGTTATTAGGAGTTTGGTGGAAGGAGCTTGTTCTACAGGTAGAGCAAGAAGTTCCCCTGAATCCTGACATGAGGATTAGGAAGCACCAGTCTGAGTGTTTGTCTCTTATTTCCAGCTGGTCTCTGTAGCTTGTTGGTAAGGGAACTTATTGGTAGAGGAAGCCCAGCCCTAGTCACCATGTTTTAGTCAGTAGCATTAAGTTGATTGAGGCTGAAGTGCTGGGAACCTCCATCCTCAACAGGGCCAGAACCAGGAGCTTGGAAAGGGCTTTGGCTCAGCTGTCCCAAAATGTGTAAGTACAGCACCTGAGCAAGTGCATGTTACAAGCCACCTTGGTGCCAGTGCCCAGTCAGTATCAGCTCCAGAACCCAGACCCTTCTGGGAGTTCCTGCTTTTAGCTCTGGCAGTCCCTAAATCAATCTGGGAGGGGGCAGCTGTAGGTCTGGGTTAGGTCTTACTAATGGTTTTGCTACCTAATGGAACCTCAGTGCCTTCATCTGAGTCCTGGGAAGCTGCCAGCCCTGGCTGGAATTCACCACATGTTGGCTTGATGCTTTTCCCCACCCTCCAGCTGAGGAAACCTCTTCTCGGTGCAGGATCCCAAAGGGGCACCCCTTCTCACAGTAGGAGACTCCCAGCAGGGTGGTTCCTCCCTCTGTTCAAAACCCCAGATGGGCAGGAAGGGGCATCAGCGTGTAGATAACCTCATGGCCTTGCCACCCTGGTGCCCAAGCCTCTGTATATATGTGAAGACGGCCAATACCTCCCAATGGGTTAGCAATCTCAGGGGGCGCAGTTCAAGATACTTCACAGGGGCCAACTCTCAGATGGGAGGGCTCAGCACCTTGGGCACTGAGGCCTCTTTAAAATGTCTCCTGTCAGACCTTGGAGCTGCGTATCACTGCTCTCCAGAGCTGTCTGCCACAGCGCCACAAAGGAGATGGGAGCACAGTGAGGCCCCTGCTGGCAGCTGGTATCAAGTGGAGTGTTCATCTGTGGCACAGCTAGGAGTGTAACAGGGGTCTCTGAATTGCAGTTCAGGGCCTGAGGCACAAGGCCAGCCCCTTTGCTCCTAGCAGCCCTACTTGTACTCAGAGCAGTTCTCAGCTGTCCAGCACCATTCAGAAGCCCTGACGTCTTCACTCTTTATCTTCAGGAATTGGCTTGTCACTGGCTCTGCTCTCTCCTCCTTGGACACAGCAGGAGGCCCAGCACCAGCCCACTGAAGGCAGAAGGCAGCGTGGCATCAACACACTGGGGAGGCAGAAGGTCTGGCCCAGGTCTGGTGGGGTGCAATGGGAGGCTGGCTTGGGTGTGCTGGGAGTGGGCAGCATGGGCAAAAGGGTGGGCATATCAGGGGACGGTGCAAGTCTGGGGGGGCAGGGGTGGATCTCACACAAGTACAAGTGGAGGGGCTCGTGTCCTTAGACCCCTCATCAGCCCCAATCCCACTGTCAGCCTCTCACTGCACAGGAGACACTGCTGCCACGGGCAAAGATGTTGGTACAGCCAGGGGGGTTAGCACAGACCCTGATGCAAATATTGCTTTTGTTGCTGAGGGGAGGGGGATGAGCATTGATGGTGGCTGCAACAGGGAGCTGGCAGCTGTTATGTAACTGGCCACACCAACATCTCCTTCCCTCCCCCACAGCTTCTCAGGTGCAAACCTTACCAGTTATGCCTCTGTCTCTGACAGATCTTTGTGTCCTTCTGTACAGAATGGTTCCCCCACCCCCTATCAACAAGCCCCATGTCTGCCTCTCCACTGTACTCATCATGAGCAGCATGGTGCTGATGGATGCCTACCTGGTGGAACAGAACCAGGGCTCCAGGAAGCTGGGAATCTGCATCATGGTGTCTGTGGGTGATGTCTGCTTCCTGCTGGTGCTCCGGTACGTGGCTGTCTGGGTTGGAGCAGAGGTGAAGACAGCCAAGCGAGGCTACGCCATGATCCTATGGTTTCTGTACATTTTTGTGTTGGAGATCAAGGTCTACTTTGTCTATCAAAACTACAAGGCTGACCGCAAGAGCATGGACCTCATGGCCCGTAAGGCCCTGACCCTATTGTTGTCCATCTGCATCCCAGCCCTCTACATGCTGCTGGTGGCCACAGAGCACATGGAGTATGTCAAGACGTTCAAAAAGAAGGAGGATCTCCGCAACCGCCTCTTCTGGGTCATTGTCGACATGCTGGATGTGCTGGATATCCAGGCCAACCTGTGGGAGCCCCAGAAGAAAGGGCTGCCACTTTGGGCTGAGGGCCTGATGTTCTTCTACTGCTATATTTTGCTCCTGATTCTCCCGTGTGTGTCCTTGTGTGAGATCAGCATGCAAGGGATCAGCATCGTGCCACACAGGATGATGCTGTACCCCATGCTGAGCATGCTCACCATCAACATTGCCACCATTTTCATCAGGGGAAGTAACATGGTCTTCTTCAGAGATGCCCGGGTTTCTGGTATCTTCATGGGCAAGAACATACTGGCCATTGTACTTAAAGTCTGCATGTTTGTGCAGTACAGGAGGCAGTTGCAACACCAACCAGCAGGACTCAGCACTGAGCCCCAGCACAACTCCATGCCCCAGTCCCAGCCAGTTCTGCCTCTGTTGAAGTCCCAGAGCCAGACTCGCTGTCCCAAGGTGCTGGCCCAGGAGAACACGTGACCTGCAGACTGGGCACAGAGCAGCACTTCTGTGTGCGATTATTAGGGTCCAGCACAAAGCATGAGGGTGTAGCTGAGTCCTGTACCCTCTGGTGGTTCTTTTAGGAAGTCTGTGAGTAACCCCTCCCTCCCTTGCACAGACAAACCAACCACCCACATTCTAGGGACATCCTAGCACAGGGCTGGGGACAGGTCACTTTTCTAGTGGCACAGAGTAAAACGGGACTTTGGGGCCAGAGCAGAAGCAAGGCAGATACTAGGGCCAGTAGAGCTGTGAGGACCAGGCTGTGCAAGATGGTGAGGTCCCTCCCTGCTTTCTCCCTTGCTTTTGTTCCTCTGTTTGGAGCGGATCTGCTGAGCTGCTGTGGCCAGTGTGGCTTTATGGCATGCTTCTGGTCTGATGGGAGCATCCCTGGGGCCTCAGTCTGCCCTTGTTGCCCTGTGCAGCCATGCTGTCCAGTCAGAGTTGGAGTTTGGAAAGGATTGGTGGGGGAGAAAGCTGGGGTGGAGATTTTAGCGTCTTGCCTCCCATTCGCAAGGTGCTCGGAGACCCAGTGGAACTCAGTGGGTCATAGTCTTTTTTTCATAAGCATCTTCTTGGTTCCAATAAAAGAAAGCACTCGCCCTGCAGCTTCCTGGTGTGTCTGTGCAGCTGCCACCTACGTGCTTGGGACTCCCTTTTTTGCTGATGAGTTGGGAGGAGCTGTGTCCATAAGAGTGAGAAGAGTTTGGGTGTGATGGAGGCACAGGGGAGATGTGCTGTGTAAAGGGAAAGATTGAGGTGCTGTGAACACTGAATCATTCAGATTGCTTGTCTGACACTTACATCTTTCGTGAAGTCTTACATGCCAATTGGCTTGGAAACAGGCAGATGGATTAAGAGTTTAGCCTAGAGTTTGCAGAGCACATGTGAGGTCAATGGATTAATGAGTCTCCAAGATGGAGGGATCCAAAATAACCTGCTCTTAAAGCCTTGGTTTCGCACAACTGTTTTGTATGACTTGTTGGGCCAGGCACCCCATCAAGGTCTTGGTCCAGCTCTTAAAGCAGGCCCTGAACCAAATTAGCACAAAATGCTTAAGTGTAATTTTTGGTTCTGCATCCTGGCATGAGAAGGCCATGGCCTCTCCAGGCTTCTCCCTCCTGTCCTCGGTTCTCTCCTGTGGTACAATCACAGTTTGCCTTGCTTCTTACCAAATTCTTCTTTTCCAGGTGCCTAGCACAGTCGCAAAGCCATGCTGCTGTTCACACAGCCCGGAGCCCCTCCAGGCCTGTGCCTGAGCAATTACTGAGATGCACTTGCTGCTGGCTGTAGCAATCACCCAGGCTCCAGCTAGTCACCATTAGCTGATGGCAAATGTGCCAGAGAGGCTAGACTGTGTGGTGGAGGCTCCCTTGTGGGCAGAGTAAAGGCTGCAGTTTATGAAGCTGCACCTTAACTTATCTCCCTGGCTTTCGGATGATGGGGGATGAGTCTCCACCCCATGGAGAGGTCTACTATAGCGAGGTGGTCAAGGGACAGCTCTCCCTCATCCTAGTAGAGGAAGGAGCTGGTTCCCACTGCCTGGATTTCTGCCTCATATCTGACACATGCCAAACCAAATCCCTTCTTCCCCTTGCCTGCTGCCTCCTGCCAGTCCCTTGCTTGCTACCTGCCAGGGCCTCTGGGAGCACACTGCAACAGGAACTGGTCCCTGTGAACACACCCAGCTTTTTTGCTGGCTCTGTTCCTATAGCTGGGCAGTAGAGCTGCCTGCACGAGCCAGCTGACAGGGAAATGGATTTATGCAGCATTCTTCCGTGCATGGACAAGGTTAATACACAGAAGTAAATTACTGCAGACACTTGCAGCTCCCTATTCTCTTTACCAAGTGCCACAGCAGTCCCACTGCATTGCCCACCATGCACAGCAGAGCCCCAGGCACCTGCCTGCTCCACTGCCCCGAGGTAGTGCCCTCTCCCAAAAAAGCCCTCTCTCTCACCCTTAGCAAAGGGGCCATGAGTCCCACTGCTCCCTGATGCAGCAGCTGGTGGGGTATGAAGACACTGGAACCAAGACATCCCCTGCCCCTGCTCCCTGCCTAGCCACAGGCAGTGAATGAAAAACCCCTGGGTGACACGGTTGTAAAATCACCTGATTTGCAGCAGACCTCCAGCTTGTGCTCAGGCACCTGAGCCAGCCCCTGGGCATGGCAGCACTGTAGAGGGATAAAGAAAAACCTGATGGAAAGCAGCAATGCCCAAATCCCTGCTGTCACCACTGCAGCTCATCTCTGCACTCTTGAGCAGAGAGGCAAGCCCTGCCTGGTCCTCAAGGCCTTCTGTGTGGAGGATGGATACCTCAGTGGGAGGGAACAGGCATGCACAAATGGAACTGGTGAGGACTGAAGGACGCAAGGCAGGGGACAGGGGTTTTAGGATCTCCCTGAGGAGCTGTGGAGTACGGCCATGACTAGCCTGCATGGGGATTGATCAGCTGCTTGACAATAACCAGCCTGAGCTGGCTGTGATAAGTGAGGGGCAGTTTGCACTAGTGCCGCAGGTGGTGGGTGTGAGCCAGGGTTGCACACCAGCCCAGGAGGAACAGCAAGTTGTCCAAGCTCATCTCTTGGTCATTGACTGTGGGTATAAAACAAGCTGCTTCTCCTTCCTGGGGCTCTGTTGTGACTCACCACCTTCCCTGGCTCACTCACCAAGGAGACCTCTTTTTCTTCCAGGCTTGTTCCTGGTCTCTTACCAGAGGAATTCATCCATTGCCTCTACTTTGAAAAGTGGGCAAGGTCCAGCACCAGAACTGCGGAATGGTTTGGGAGTGGGGATACCACTTATATTTCCAGCATGGTTGCGTGGGTGGCTCTGGTACAAACCACACTCAGGGAAATCCAGGTCACCAGAGCTATGGACATCTGGCTTTGTTTTTTGGTCACAAACTGAAGGAGCTAAAGGAGCTAGTTGTGTTCAGCTTGTGGAAAAGGCACTTAAGAGAGAACATGATAACAGCCTTCAAATACCTGGAGAACGTGGGTTGCGGTTGCAGCGAAGTAAATTTAGATTGGATATCCGGAAAAACGTTTTCACTGTGAGAATAGTCAGGCAGTGGAATAGACAACTAGGGAAGTTGTGGACTCTCCACCACTAGAGGTGTTCAAGAGGTTGGACAGCCACTGGCTGGGGATGATCTAAGCATAGCCTATTTTCTACTATGGGTATTTCCTATGATTTGGGCTTTGTTGGTTGCTCCTGCCTGCCCCACAACACCCTCCCCACCTTTTTTCTGCTACATGTGTAAAGGTGTCTTTAAGTCTCCCCAGAAGCATTGGGTGCTGGCTACAGCTAAGGCTGAGAACTTCAACTGAGGTGTGCCAATGCTTCTGCTAGGAGCAAAGCTGGAGATTCCTGGCTAGAGGGTCTTACACCTCTGCTCAGGATTAGACTGCCACATTTGGGGTCAGGAAGGAATTGTACCCCATGGTCAGATTGGTATGGGCTGTGGGGCTTTTTTTGCCTTCCTCTGTAGTTTGGGGGCATGGCCCTCAGCCCAGGATCTCCTGAGCATATACTGAAAATATTTTATAGAAGAAGGACATTAGCTGTTGTGATTTCCCTGCTTTACCTGTGGCAGGTGAGGGTGTTAGGTCTATGTTGTGTGAGGTTTGATGGTAGACTTGCATAGAGTTTAGATTTTGGTTGTAGGGATGGGGATGATCCTGCCTCAGGCAGGGGGTTGGATTAGATGACCTCTGGTGGTCCTTTCCAGCCCTACTTCTCTATGACATTTATGACTATGAACATGGGCGATGCATATGGGGTGCATGTGCACCCTCTGAGTGTGGCGGTGCACCCCCTGCAAAAAGCCACCACTGACACTGGTGGTGGCGCCTGTGGGCGGTTGCCACTTGCCACCCCACCACCGGTGGCATGTGCAGGTGGTCCACAATTGCCGCTGTCAGTAGTGCCTGCGGGTGGTCGACAACCCCTGGTCGGCGTTTGCTACCCTCCACCGGCTACCGACACTGCCAATGGAGTCTGCAGGAGCTCCCAGCTTACCACCGCCTGGCTCCTGCCACCACCAGCGCAGCCATGCCCCCCCAACCGCTGGGGGCATGCGCCATTCATGACCATGAAGAAAGAGGCTGAGGCCCAGTCCAGTGGCAACATACTGCACAGGAAGAGAGCAGCCATGGTAGGGGGTGGGGCAGAACTAAGCTTGTCCTTTAAACATTAATCTCCCAACCTTCCGTACACTGTTATTTAGTCCTAACTTTGCCATGTCCAACTTTCAATGCTTTGATCATTAATGAAACATTTCAATAATGTTTTAGTTAATATCTGTATATACCCCTTCCTAGCTATTAAATGGCAGCTCCACTCCCAAAACAGACTGCCCCTTCTTACTGATCGGCTGGCCATATAAATTCACAGCCAAGTTTATTCACTATACAGCAAATCCAGAAAAACTTTACCTTTCTCCCCACATCCACTGGGCCTGGTTTCAGATACGTAGGTACTAAGGACTATTTTTTGGCTTAAGTGTCACATACAGATTTCATAGATTTTTAGGGTCGGACGGGACCTCCAGCAGATCATCGAATCTGACCCGCTGCCCTGGGCAAGAAAGAGTGCTGGGGTCAGATGACCCCAGCCAGGTGCTTGTTCAGTCTCTTTTTAAAGACCTCCAAGGTAGAGAAAAGCACCACCTCCTTTGGAAGCCCATTCCAGATCCTGGTCACCCTGATCAAAATGCATTTTCAAGGAATACCACAAACACTAACTACGCTCTGAAGGAGGGTTCCCTTCTCCATTTGGACAACTTGGCAGAGACTGGCTGAAATTTAACAGAGTTCAGGTCAGATCAAGGCATATTTAACTCCCATCCAGATCACTGGACTATTTCCTTTTAGACAGCGTGTGAAGAGTGGAGAACAAGAGTTTCAGTGGTTTTCAAGAGTCAGTGGTTTTTATATAGCTAAAGATGAACTAGGTGGCATTTAAGGGCTTGCTCCTTTAATATTTATTTCAATGGCAAAATTGAACTCTAAATCCTCTGATGAGAGAGGTTGGATTCTTAGTGATGAGAAAATCTCAAATGTTCCCACAGACAAGGTTCAAACAAAACCTTGGATCTAAACAAGTTTGAGGCCTCTGAAGAGCTGGGGTTGGAACTGGGCCATGAAGCTTCAGCTCTTCTCTGTGTGTAACATAATTTGAGCAGAGCAGGAGGTTACAGAGCAATTGGTGCATCTTTATACTGGTAACAGCTAATCACCAATAGTCAGGTAAATACAGTGATTTAGTTGTCTCTGCTGAAGATAAACTCCCAATAACTTCAGTGGGGAATGAACCTCATCTTTATAAAGGGAAACATTTTGCCAGCTGTTTCATTTGATCGCATTTATTACACATTTTAATTATATGGATTGGCCAGGTTTCATTTTCAGGGTGGGTAGTAAAAAAAAAAAAATCTCTTTCTTATAAAATTAGCAGGTTTGATCTAGGGAGAAGTTAAGATACAACCATGAAACTTACTTTGTGACATCCACAGAAATCAGAAGTTGGGTTGGAAGGGACCTCCAGAGGTCACCTAATCCAGCCCCCTATCTGAGGATCATGCCTATCCAAACCATCCCATACAAATCCATAATCTAACCTCTTAGTAAAACTACCATCAGTCCTGACACAGCACAAGACATAACACTCTAAGCTGCCACAGGTAAAGCAGGGGGACTACAGT